CTTGATTTCGTCTTTCGCAAGAGGCGAATGTACCACTCTCCCTTACTCGCTTCAGAATTGGCGTAACACATAGCTTGTACGAGCTCAATGACAAGAAAAGCATTGGTTCAATTTCTCCCAAAAGTACTAGGTATATGTACACTGGTGGACCGCAAGGCTGAGGAGAGAAGAGACGAGGCTGAGTATGTGCTGGTCACGGGGTATGAGATCATCGCCAACCGCCTAGAGCCTCCGACGCGTTTCCGCTGCCACTTGGCGTCCCGCCCGACCCTCAATCCATCGCAGCCGCAGGCTTGTCTTGTCTTGCTGCCACTGCTCCGTCTTACTGAAACCAGGCCTTGACAGTTGACTCTTGTACCTCGTCGGATAGAGTGCGGGACCTCCTCCCTGTCATGCGGAGGATTCTGCGTCCTCAGTCACCATGGCGCATTTCCTTCGCGGCAAGCAGGCCGGCATCCAGAATGACCTCTCTACCGGTGTTTCACCAGAATCTTTTATGCTAGACGATGTACGCTCGCTCCTTCCGAGATCTGCAGTTATTCGGAGAAGACTGACAACTGTCTCAAGTTTGCCCGCTATGGCATCAATTCTCAGATCTCCGTGCTCGCCTATGACCCTGTTCAGTCTCTCCTCGCAGTCGGTACCAATGAATCTCAATTCGGCCCTGGGGTCGTCTATGTCTTTGGCCAGAAGCGAGTCTGTGTGACTTTCACCCCTCCTCGACCTTCATCCATCCGAACCATCCAATTTTGCGCCGACAAAATCCTTGTGCTCGACAGCAAGAACGATGTCAGCGTCTTCAGCCTCGACACCAGGCATCTGCTGGCAAATTATTCCCCTCCCGGCCAGGTCGTTGCCATCCTCTCGGATCCCAGTCTCGACTACTGTTTCTCTGGGTTGCAAAATGGTGGGCCCAATAAGATACGATAGACTGGGATGGGGGAAATTTTGCTGACATCCTTTGGCAGGGGAAATTGTGGCATTTGATTTGGACCGCGAGCACCAGACGGCATTCAAGATCCCCAACCTGTGGCGTGAGCGGAACCCCCGAGCACGGATTCTACCCATTGTATCGATGCAGTTCCATCCCAAGGACATAGGAACATTGCTTATCGGTTACTCCGAGGGCGCCGTCATCTACTCTTTTAAGCAGAACAAAGCGATCAAGTTCTTCCACTACGAACTCCCACCAGGCGCTCGAGGCGGGGATGGAGATCCTTCAAACGCCAACTCTGTACGGCATCCGCGGTTGACACATGCTCTCTGGCACCCAACTGGCACCTTTGTGTTGACGGCCCACGACGACTCGAGTCTGGTGTTCTGGGACCCTCGAGATGGCAGAGTCATCCACGCAAGGACAATTGAGGATACAGATGTCAACGTGCCTGGCGCTGGAAAGCCAAGAGATGTACCTAGGAGCCCTCTCACGCCGGTAAGCCCGGGCTTTGGTACAGTGAAGGAGCCGTACTTTCATATTGCATGGTGTTCCAAGGCAAATCCGGACGACACTGGCTTGCTTGTAGCAGGCGGCGCACCGACAGCCAATCCCACGAGAGGCCTGACATTCCTCGAACTCGGTCCGACACCAAACTATCAAACCTCGACGTGGGATTTCCTCGCGAACCATTTCCGCCGTCCGAAACGCACACATGTGCTGCCTACACCACCTAATGCCGCGATCAACACGTTTACCCTTATTCCTCGCTCGTCCCCACACTTTGCAGGCTCTCATGATCCGATAGCAGTCATGACTGTTCTCTCGTCTGGTGAAGTGATCACATTGAGCTTCCCCTCTGGACATCCCATCACACCCAGCAACCAATTGCACGTCTCGTTATCTTTCGTGCATCCATTTGTGACCAAGACAGCACTCGCATTCGTCGATCGAACTAGGTGGCTCGGCATGCGTGAAGTTCGCCAACATGGTCCGCAGTTTCTGATCGGTGGCGCTGAGGGTATCAAGCCTCTTAAGAGACATGAAAACAGAAATATCGTCCAAGCCGCTCACGCGGACGGGACCATTCGCATATGGGATGCCGGACATGGCGATGTCATTGAAAATCCTGGCGTCCTCCAAGTCGATTTAGGAAAAGCCCTGGGCCGGTGGGATAATCTGGACGTGTCCCAGATGGGCATGTCTGGTGCAACGGGAGAGCTTTCGGTAGGGCTGAAAACTGGGGAACTCGTTGTTTTTCGACTGAACCGCAATCAATTCTTTGGTCAGCCTCCATCTGATCCTGGCTCGAACGAAGGACCTGGCAAAATGCAGGATATCAGCAGACGAGCTGACCCAGGCTTGAAGGAAGGTCTCCTCCCTCTGACCATGACGAATGACCAACAAGGCCCCGTCACCGCTCTACGACATTCCGATGTTGGCTTTGTGGCAGCTGGTTATGCTGGAGGTGGGGTGACCATTGTTGATCTACGTGGTCCGGCTATCATCCACACAGCTCTTCTCAATGAGATGGTCGGTGGTAAACATCGGAGAGGTAGTATACGACGAGCTACTCCAGCCACTCAATCGACAGAATATGCCACTTCGATGGAATTTGGTATCTTGACCCTTGATGGTGATGGTACGTGTTTTCCATCCCTGGACCCCCGCGGTGTTAACATGTGAATAGATTATTCCTCACTCGCTCTATTTGTTGGAACATCTCGAGGTCGTGTCGCCACGTTCAAAATTCTCCCATCTCAGTCCGGACGGTATTCGGCACAGTCGACAGGTGTGGCCCAAATATCAGAGGACCGGGTCATCTCATTGTGCCCCATCGATACCCACACAGGTGCCCCTGCAGCTGCAACTGGATATGCAATGGGCGGTTTGCAGTCTGGTCGGAAAGTCGATGGCGTCCTTGTGGCAGTCACAGCTTCATCCGCCCACATCTTCCGTCCAGCATCTGCAAAGGGAGCCTCCAAGACTTTCGACCACTACCTGTGTGATTCGGCCACAGTAGCCCGCTACGAAGATCGTGGCTATGCAATTGTCGGGTTATTTGGCGATGGCGCCGCCCGGGCATTCTCAATCCCTGCACTGAAAGAAATTGCGAGCATCCGCGTCAATCATCTCCTTGACACGAAGCGTTTCGGGGACGCGATCGTGTCTCCCACAGGCGATATCCTGGGTTGGGCAGGTCCTAGCGAACTAGCCATGGTTAACGTCTTTGGCTGTGGTACGTCCCTCCCACCTAGCACCGATCGTCTCTACGACGGCACCAAAATGGTTCCTCCTCGACCTACGATCAGCAACCTACAATGGATCGCGGGTACCCAATACATCACTCCTTCAGATATGGACATCCTCATTGGAGGGCCCGACCGACCACCTTCTAAGCGAATGATGGCGGAAATGCGGGCTGCGCAGGAAGCCGAGTTTCAACGACAAAGGGAAGCCGCGCGAACAGGACGGGCGCCCAAGCCTGACCATTCTCAGGAGACGTATTGGGCGTACATGCAGCGGCAGCTACAAGAGAGAACAGAGAATCTGGGATTGGCGGGCGACAGTCTCGATCGAGCAGCGGAATCCAGCAGTTCGTGGAGCGACGGTGTGGACAAGTTTGTAGCGAAGCAGAAGAGAGCGGCGGCGCTGGGGTTTATTGGATCGAAGCTAGGGTTCTAAAAGATGTGCTGATGGAGTTTGAGCGAGGAGTTTTATGACTTGCACGCCAGCTACACCTCCTGGAAGCCGAGCATGTGCGTGGCAAGGTATGCGCTATCACGAGGCTTGCTGTGCTAATGAATGGGAAAAGAATATAGGTTGCAATGGCCAACTAACGCACTGGGCATCTTTGGCGCTGGCCTCAGTGCACAAGTGGACAATATAGATATACGACTTCAACTCCAGCTTCACGGGTGTCCCAGAGCCTTTCCCTTGCCGGAGGGAGTATCTATAATGGCAATCTTGTGGAGTTTTCTCACACATCGTCACGGTTTTCTGTCGACAGTGCTGGGGGAGCTAGCTACTCAGCATCTGGATACTCACCGGGTCAGAAGAAGGCTTTCTATCTATCTATCTAGCCGGCTGGCTGGTTGGCTGACCATGTCTCATTTTGTTTCTGGATCCATTTCCGCCTTTGAATTCCAGGGAGAGGAGAACTGCATACAGGATAAAGCCCCGGGAAATCGAGTTATTACCCACATCCCCTTTGCGCCAGAGTGCCTTTCTCCCCATCTACACAAATGTCAGAGGAGTGATTGAGTCGCTCTTCACCCTCCACCCTTCAACAACGACAGTGCCTGACAATGACAATGACGCTGCCTCCGCCGCCGCCGCCGCCGCAAACGGCGAATAAGTCGCAGTAGGTGCCACCGCCCAGTCCCATTGTCTTCTTTGCCTTTACGGTTTCCGACGTCACCACGACAGCCGCATCCGGAAAACCAGGCAGTCACTCGACCCATACTCGAGAACAAAGAACCGAGAAGGTCTTGTCATTGTTCTGTTTCTTTTTTTCGTTTTGTGTGTCTGTGCACGGGTAGGGGGTTTAGGGACCAATGGTATCTCGAGGGCTAGGATCCCATGATGGTCTGTCCGCCCGTGGGTACGGAGGAGTGACGATGTACGATATACGACATACTGGAGGACGGGCGGTGATGTGTTGGTAGCATGTTCCATTGTCAAACGGTCGCAAGGATCTGCCCTGCTTGGAATTTTTCATTGTTTGTTCCCGTCGTTCGTCGGTGTCTTTGTTCGTTTCAACAATCGCTTTGCTTGGCCCTCGCGCCTACATCGGAATTTTGGGCGAGGATTATCGATGGAAGATTCCTAAAGATCTCGAAGTCGTGGAATCGGGGATCGAGAGCCATCAATCATACCTACCTAGCAAGTCCTTTCCGGTCTGAGACCGGTCGAGTCCAAGTGAAGTCCAAGTCCGAGTCCGAGTGTCAAGTCTCAAATCAAGTGAAAGCAAGGCAAGGCAAGTCATCCTCGCGAGAGAAAAAAAGCCCGAGTAGGTGGTGTGGTGTGAAAAGAACCGAGACAAGAGAATCTGCGTACTGGCAAGATGAAGAAACTGGCACGCACGCTGTCTTCGCGCGGCAGCAACCCAAAATCTCATCCCCATCCTCCTCCTCATCCACCATCGCCCTCAAGTGGTGTCAACCCTCATCATCAAGCGAACCGGGCTCGTGCTCGAACATCCTCCCTGACGAGCCCGATCCCGCCTCACACGCATCTCCATTTCCCGCAGTGCCCACACACCACTCCCCCGACGCCCCGACCGGCCCGGTTGCCGGCCGTGCTGAGGACCGAGGTCGTCGAGAATGTCGTCGCGACAGATACCCCAGATGCTTCAGGGTTGGGTGGCACCGCGGCGGACACGGACCGCAGCAGGAGTGTCGTAGAAGTGCGGCAATTCCTGACCACGCCAACGCACTGTCTCGACTGCACGCTCGCGCTGGCCGCGCAGCATGAATCCTGGATCCGAGAGCTCTGCGACGGCGCGGTGCGGGAGGCGAGGTTAAGGCTCGTCGAATTGAGGTCGGGTCTGGCTGCTGCTGCTGCTGCTGCTCCTGCTGCTGCTCCTGCTGCTGCAGATGCTCATGACGACGACGATAAAAAGGAGCAGACCAAGCTCCAGGCCGAGATCCAACGTTACGAGCAGCGCATCGAAGAACACCTGCGCACGCGGGACGGCGATGTCAAGCAGGTGTGGGACCGCGTGCGTAAGGACTGGGAGGGCGGTGTTCGAGAGGTGGTCAGAGACGACGGCACGGGCGAGGCCGAGGAACGGTGTGTCTTTGTGGTGCCCTGGGAGGCCGAGGGAGAGGTGGTGGATACGGCGGCTGTGTCTGTCCCTGTCCAGGAAGGGATTGTGACACAAAAGGGGAGTGTGAAGGTTGCGTGGATACCGATGGGTGTGAGTGAGAGTCAGTGAGAGTAAGTTGAAATACGGAGGGGGTCGGCTTCATTTGGCTCTACTAGGAGCTGTAGATACACGCCTAGTGCCATTCTAGCGCTTTACTAATGTCATATCAGATCACCTAACATATGGTTTCATTACCAGATATGGTAAGTGCTAAATATCCCGGGTATTGTAATCTAATCGCTACAAGCTGGTGCAAGCAATGCCTGCCCAAGTCAACCGAATACCGTACGTTAAACCATGTAATGTGCCAGGCGCCGACGTGTTCTGTTCACGTAATATCAGGGGTTACACCCCCCGGAACCCCCTTTTTTGGGGACAACCTGGACTAGGATTCTCGCAGGATTCTCGCTCATACACTGGCTTGACTGGGTCCCTTTCGAATTGGAATCTGTCGACTCTGAAATGATTTATGTTCTTCCACCACCGGGAACCAAATTCCTTGTCTCGCGGGTTTTCCTTTCCGCCCACGTCTTTGCGACTGACGACGGCAATTTTGTCATCAAGCGACCAAAGGGGTTTGGGTACGACGCATGCTTCGACGCGTTTCGTGAGCTTGTCGACACTGAGCGGCGGATCTACGAACACCTGGGCGCGCACACCGTGGACTGGCAGAATACCACGGGTACGACCAGAGTGACGGATCGATCAAGCTCGAGCGTGCCAGTGACGGCGACCTGACCGACTTTATCAACGACAACCCGAAACCAACCCGCGAGACGTGCCACGAAATGATGAGGCACCTAGCCGACACTCCGCGCCATATCGATTCCCGGAATGTCGCTGTACTGGATATCAAGACGGACACAATGTGCTCAATGCACCACGGGTTACCAAAGATCTGCGACTTTACCCAGAGTATCCTGTTCTCGCCGACTGAGATGGCGCAGGATGTTCGCCCCGAGGTAGAGGAGGAGCAGGCGCTGCACATCGGCCTTTTCGGTATCGGCTGTGTCCTCTGTTCCATCTCCACGTGGGAGGTGTTCAACTACGACCTGGACGAAGACTGCTGGCCCTCTCCAACAAACGACCTGAAGCCAACGGGGGATGTCTTTCTCGGAAGAGTCATCGAAAAATGCTGACACAAAAGGTATCGATCTGTGGAAGAATCTCATTACGATGTCATGGTCGGGACGCGATGTCGATTCTTGGGCTTCTTGGCTATCTTCGCCTCGTCGATGTCGCGCTTCGTTGCGACGGCTCGTCTCATGCTCACCCTTCCCTTCCTGAAGAGTTGGCCGTTGTGGAAGTCGACGTCTCAGCCCATCGGCTTGAGATCCGTCAGATGAGATGGATGGAAGGTGGATGAGAGGATGTGCATGCCGACACTACAAGAAGGTGAGACTTCGCTGTATGGCTACAAATCCTCGTGTCAGCTGCCAAAAAATGCCTGTTTCTGTCGACCACTCCGTCCTCTTTCCATTCATTCTCCGATTTTGTTCCACTTCCACAGTGACCCTCCATGTCAGATTAGCTAGACACGAAGCCCAACAGCGTTGGTAACTTTGAGAATTCACGGTAGTTTGCAGATCTTGGCCGTGAGGCCATACGAATTGATCTCAGAACTTGCAACTATATATGTATGTAGTGGTCTGTGTGGATGTGGAGTTGACTTCCCCAAATAGTTAGGTTACATGGGTGGATGCGGGAAGTCATGAGCTTCTACAGACTAGAGATAGATGGCGCCTCAAGACACGATGCAGCTATCCCCTCAGGACTCCTCGACACGAATTTGATGGCACATCAGCCAAGTCTCTACCCCCGGAGCAGATGACACTCCTGCAGCAAGTCTTCAAGCTTCTCCTCATCCTCTTGCCCGCGCCCGTTCCGCCTCCCACCACCCGAGCACTCCCCCTCGTGTTTGGAATGCGCGATCTTGGCTAAATATAGCTTTCGTTGCTGCTTGCGGACGATATTCTCCTCGATGCTCTGCTCCACCACATACCGCCACACCGTCACTGGCTTGTCTTGTCCGATGCGGTGCGCGCGGCCGATAGCTTGCTCTTCTACCATAGGGTTCCAGTGTGGCTCCATGAGATGGACATCGGTCGCCTCTGTAAGAGTCAGACCCACAGAGCCTGTTCCAAACGTGACAAGCATCACTCGTACTTCTGGATCCGTCCGGAACGCAGAGAGTGCTCTGGCCCGATCGTCCGGCGAGTGCTTGCCGTCGATACGGACGCATTCAATGCCGTACCGTTGAAGTTGTTTTTCCAGCAGTGCTAGTGCGTGTAACCAGTATGAGAAAACAAGGCTGTCGTCGTCTTAGCATACTCTTACTGATTCAGGAGCTGTCACTCACCTCTTCCCAGTACCCGCAAGGGGCTCCTGGTGGAGCTCTAGGAGCTTGGACGTTACTGCGACAATTTTTGCAGGGGTGAAATTCCCTGTGTCCTGCTCTGGCGGGATAAGGGAGGTAACCCCGTCATATGTGCTGGTGACACCCGGAGAATTACCAAAGACGAGGTCTTCTTCGACCGCCCCACATATGAGACAGGATACCTCCTTAGCTAATGCTTCGGCGCTGTTGTTTGGAGAATTGGCCCGACAGGCTTTACAGAGCACATGGCCGCATTGTCCGTGGAAAACCGACGGCCACTCGGCTCTCCTGATGGTCCCGCCACATTGATTACAAGTAACGTTGGAGACCCAGGCTGGAATTTCGGCAAGCTGGCGTGCAGAGCGGTCTTGCAAACTGATCCCGTCGCAGCAAATCCTCCGTAAGTCTCGGATGCCTAGGAGAGTGCTTATCGAGCGCTGTGCTTTTTGGACCTTGGAGGCCTCGGCCAAGGTTTGGAGAATGCTAGTTTTCACCACATCATATTGCTCGTGTTCCAGATTGGAAAGCGAGACGCTGATCGTGCGTAACGTTACACCGCCTAGGCCCAGAGCCTGTTTCATACGGCGAATCTGAAATACCCTAGTCATACGGCGTAGATTAGAGAGACCAGCCTCATCACGCCTGGATAGTGGATCCGTAATGAGTTTCCTAAACGATCGGGTCGAGTCGAAGGGATAGAATCTGAGCCAGCGAGTGAGAGCGCAAAGATCGCCTAGGCCATTCTGAACGGGCGTGCCTGTCAAACACCATCTCCTCTCGGCCTCGAATTCATGCAAGGTTTGGAAGACTTGTGTTGAGGAGTTGCGAATCCAGTGGGCCTCGTCAAGGGCGATTCGAAACCATGAAAACTGACCCAGATGACCAGATGATGACTTTCGTCCCAAGGAGATAGTTTCGTATGTCGTCAGCACAACTTGAGCAGTTGCCAAGTCCGAATGCAGCCTGGTTTTTGCCTGGCCGTGGTGGACGTAGAGGCGTAAAGCCTTCGCGTCTAGATGTCTAGCAGAGGGAGTCAGTGGTGTGTTATGTTTCCCCATTGCGGCTTGGACTTACTTGGAAAGCTCGTCTTGCCAATTCTGCAGAGCTGCATCGTGTCAGGAAACTTTTGTTTTCAGAGTTCTGAAAGTCTTACTTGAAAAAGGGGTTACGATAAGGGTGGCCCCAATTTTCTGGACCTGGCGCGGAGATGCGGTGTGATTGTAGGCCATAAAGTGTCGAGCCTCTTCCAAGGTATGGATTATCAGTGCCAACAACGAGAGAGACTTCCCCAGTCCCATCTCGTCTGCCAGCAAGCCCCCTACGCACTCGTTGACTGGGGCATACTTTTTCTCCCGAGTCAACTCGTGGACATACCTATCGAGCATTAGAACTTTGATCTATCTCATGTATCACTAGCTTGATACTTGCCTTGGTTCGAGGCTGGTCCAATCCCGCTTCCACATTGTTGAGAGGAGATGTTTCTCCTCTGTGGCCTCGCGACGCAGCATAAAATCCAGTGCTTCGATTTGATGACTGTAAAGGAGTTAGAACTGAAGGGTCGATCCAGTGGGGTTCTTACGGCTGCAAGGTTGTCTTTATTCTCGAGTCTTGTTCAAAGACCGACTGCAGGCCACCGTGATGCGTCTCACACAGTATGGTTTTTATTTCTTGGTCGAAATGGTGGATATCATCTGACTGCTGGTTTATGAAGAACGGGGTGAGTTGCTCCTCTGTTGTAGAATATACATGAGGATTGGAGTAGGGGATAGATGGATGCAGCACACTGGGCTCCTGTAAGAAGATATGTGCATTCCCAAGACAGGTTCCGACTCTCTCTCCGTAGGATGCTGGACCGAAGAGGTTAATCTCGCAGGAAAGGACCATATGGGCCTGCTTCTTAGAGACATTTCTGATTATTTCGTCGTCGAGGGAGAGGTATACTTCACACCTCAAGCTTGGACACTGTGCCTTCACCTTTTTGATGACCGCCGCGTGTTGCTGGTTCAATTGTGCCACCTCCTGAGCATCGGTGTCGCAAATGGTGATGCCATCGGATCGAATTCGGATCGGAAAAGCCGTCCGTTTCCTGAGGAATTCGATAGATGGGCGTTGGGACGAAGGGAAGAGTTTTGCGAAAGAATTGGTTATCTAGGCAATGAGCAGAGAACTGCAATTATGTCGATGGATTTCTCACCAGTCCATAGCAAACAGTAGTCGCTTCATCCGCCTTAGCCAAAGGTTCTGTCTCTTCGGTGCTCCGAGAAGTGGAGAAAGTATCAGAGTCGATTGCAGGGATCGAAGACGTCTCGTCAAGGATTTCAGGGTCGGCCCGGTGAGATTCGTCTGAGGATTCCAAAGAATGCTCTCGACTTTCGTAGAGGTCAACATGGCAGTTTTCAGCCAGTTGGTGTTTGGGGCAGGTTTCGGAAAATGTCTCTTGTTGGATCTCGAGGTCGTCGTGGTCTTTGGTGTCTGTCGGTCCGTTTAACTGCGCAGTTGACCAGAGGTCGATGTCAAGCGGGCGAACCAGATCCGGGCAAGTGTCGACACCCCCCAACGCAGTCGTCCACGATCTTTTCTTCGTGAGCTCCATGCTTCGTGTTTCATTGTGCAAGAGGTTGATGTTCTTGTGTCATTAGACAATCAAGATGGCCTTCACTGGGGAGAAACTCGGGCAACCACACCTGCGACCTTGATTGTAAATCTGCCTCGCCTGCAAGGCAACCTTGACAACCTGCAGGATGAGGCTGATCAGGCGCATCTAGCGAACTGCCACGTTGCGCTGGTGGCGATGCCCCTCGCTTTGTTTCTTTTCTGATGTGTGCAGCCTGCCATCCACCTTGTTTCCTCCCTTGCTCACTTTCAACCAACGTTCTAAGGTCACAACAAGTTGATGCAGCAGATCGATCAAGATGGCGTCTGTGACACACGCAGATCCTGCGAGCTCCATGGCTCTTGTATCGTCTCTGTTCGCTGACGCTAGTATGGACTTCAAGAGCAAGGTCCCGGACCACCTTGTTCCAACCTTTGACGAGATCAGAACTCTTCAAGATCTGGAATGTGCTATTCGAGGCATTGAGGCAAGTCAAGGAGGCAGAAAATCACTCCGCTATTTGAGCAAGATCAAGCCATATCTCAAAGCCTTGGATGAATACTCGAAGGTCATCGAAGTGTTTGTCAATGCAAAGCCTGAAATCATGGCCTTTGTCTGGGGGCCCATCAAGCTGTGCTTGCTGGTAAAGTGTCCTCCTCATCCTACAGCGGGACTTCAACTGATGACCTGGACCAGATCGCCTCAAAGCATGAGAAGGCATTTGATTCTCTTCTTTCAGCCTATGTCAAGATCAAAGACGCTCTGCCCCATTTCTCTGCTGTCGAACAGTTGTTTGAGAACAACCTGCAGATGAGACACGTTCTAGTCAACCTCTACAAAGACATTCTTGCCTTTCACCTGCGGGTCCTCACTTTCTTCTCCAGACCTGGTAGGTGCCTCATGCCGTTTCCCGTGGCAGATCTCGCAGGCTTATGAGTTAGGCTGGAGCATAGCGTTCCGCGTTACGTGTAGAGCGTTTGATGATATGTTTGGTGATATTGTCACCAATCTCGAGCGTTCAAAAGAGCTTTTCTACTCTTCAGCAAGCATTGCGCATTACCAAGCTGCCCAGGAAGCACGGCAACAGATCGAGGTCATATTCAAAACACAACAAGAGACAGCTCGAATAGAGAAAAGAACCTACGTGCATGGATGGCTCAGTCCTCCTGAGCATCGCGAACGGCACGAACAGCTCTGTGAACTCCGGTCAGAATATCCACAAACAGCACAGTGGATTTTTGAAGAGCCATGTTGGAAAAACTGGCTCAACAACGAAGAGCAAAGTGGTAGGATCTTATGGGTGTCGGGAATCCCAGGAGCGGGTATAACACTGCACTGTCATTTACCTCTGCATCGCTTTGCTGACTGCAACAGGCAAGACTGTGATATTTAGTGCCATGGTCGAATCTCTGATCCTCCGATCCAAGTCGAACTCATCGTGTGCGGTTGCTTACGTTTACTGCAAGTACAATGACTGCCAAAGAAATAGTTTTGCGGAGTTGGCTCGATCTTTGATTCATCAGCTCGCTGGCATGAATGAAATCTGTGGAGACTATTTGTACGATACTGCCATAAATAGTACCGAGAGCAAGGCCCGTGGGAAGCAAGCGCTCACGACGATAATTCAAGATGTCCTCCAGTGCTACGAAGAGGTGTTCATTGGAATCGATGGACTCGATGAATGTGAGAAGGACCAACGACGGCAAGTCCTTGACTTTCTCAAAGGGCTGTTCAAGCTCTCTCTCCCGGATTGCAGTCTTCGTTTGTTCTTAACAAGCCAAGGAGAGCGTGACATTGAGAAATTCATGGCTTTGACCCGCTACCATGTGAAGATTGGACCAGTTCACCTGTCGAGGGATATTCTCTACTACGTAAACAGACGAAGTGCAGAGCTGGCCAGGTTCAACCTGACAAGCCAACAGATGGGTGATCTGAACAGGGATGTTTCCGCAAGATGTTCAGGTGAGTCAACAGCATTTCCTTGTCCTTGACCCAGAACTGACTTTGAGAAGGCATGTTTCTTCTGGCGAGACTCATCTTTGATTTGTTTGAGCGCTGTGTGACTCGCGCAGACTTCGATGATGAGTACACTGGGAAAGGTCTTCCGAGTGGTATTGACGAGGCGTAAGCATACTACTCCGAGGTTCAAATGGTAAGGCATGCACTAATGCCCTTGTTCAAGGTATGGTCGGATACTGTCCCGAGTCAGGAAAAGAGAGAACGAATCCGGCCGATCCAGGGCAAAGCCAGTCTTGGAAATCCTCAGCTGCGCGAAACGGAAGCTTTACGTCCACGAGCTACAGGGCATGCTTTCGATGGACACGACTAATCGCCAGATCGATTTCAGCCGTGGAAGGTATACCCAGCACTTCAAAGAGCTATGTGGACCGCTCGTGGAGCTAAACCTGGATGGAACCGTCGATTTTGCACATCAAACAGTCAAAGAGTAAGGCTCGATCCCTTCATGATAGACCCAGCACTCATTTCTGCAGCTATCTTGATCAGTATCACTCGGAGTATGTCAACCTTGGATCTGCCGCCTTCCACTCTGCTGGCATACTCACGTCCTACCTTTCACTCGATTGCTTCGCTTCTACACATCACGACGAACAGCTGATTGAAGCAGCCAAAACAGGATGCTTCTCTTTCTACAAATATGCTGTCTTCTATTGGCTACCTCACATCCAATGCCTAGGGGAAACCGGTCTCATAGAGGCTCGAATCAATATGAGTCTACGCAGGAACGTCCAGGCCACATACCGAAATTTGATTTCCTTCTCTGAGGTGGCTCATGACGATCAAGATGACATGCATCTTGACGGGGGCGCCAATTTTCCACTGTTACTTGAACAAACAGATTCCTTGTATGAGCGGCTTTTGCAAAACCATGGTATGACCTAGGCGTATGCCAGTTAGGATTGCATAATGACCAGTGTTACAGAGGAGGACTCACCAGTCGTGCGACAAATATCTCGCATTCAGCGGGCTATCGAGGCCGTCATCTCTACCGAAACGGACAGTGTCGAGAAGGGATTCCTCAAAGACGCTTATGGGCCCCGGCCCTACCACTGTCCAGCCCTCTCGTGTTTACGATTTCATGACGGGTTCTCAAACCCTCAGGACAGAGACAACCACCACCGAACCCATGAAAGGCCGTTTCGGTGCTCCTTCCAAGATTGCAGCTTCCATTCCGTTGGATTTCCGACCCAGAGGATCCTTGACGCGCATGTTGACGCATTCCATGTGGCAAGTATAGTACCACAGTTTTTGAACATGAAAACCTGGTCGATTTGGGTTTCTTTGCAGAATATTCTCAAAACTGATGACGAAACGTTAGTCGGTGACATGTGCGTCGAAGCTGCAAAGCATCCAGAAAAACCACCAGGGCTGGTTGCCCATGCCATTGAGAAGGGTCACTTTAATTCGGCACGCGCCTTGCTTCAACATTTCCATGGCCTCGACGACATAGTTTCTGAAAAAGTTGGACGAGAGAAACTCATCCACACACTAGCAGGGGCTGGCGAACTAGGCTTGATGCGACAAATTCTCGCCCTCTGCCCTTCGCTGCAATGGACGTCGAGAGAATATTGTGTTGCTTGTTTTCCGGCAATTAATAAGGGCCGCAAGGATATGCTCTCATTCTTGCTTGATCAAGCATGTGACCGGGATTTTGACCCTGACTGGAGACCTGTTGCGCTCATTCATAGAGCAGCACGAGCTGGTTATGGAGATCAGCTGTCGCTAGTTCTCGACAAAGTCGGCCATCTCTGCCCGCCTAATGCCTTTGCTATTTGCTGTCGAAACATAGCTGGCGAAGGCAACGCAGCGGCTCTGGAACCAGTCTTGACCACCTTCTTGAATGCTTGTGGCCCCCAAGCCAAGGAGTCTAAGTGGTTCAAGCACCTGTATGAGCTACCTATCGGCGATGCGGTGACGAGGCTGATGAAAGAAACGGTGGGATATTCGCAGGGCAAAGAGGGCGGGAGCTTCAAATCTGCATTCCAGCGTGCAGCACTCCGTGGAGACGTTGACCGGCTGACAACGATGCTGGATTTGGGGATTGATATCAACTGTAGCAGCGGGCAATATGGCACCGCGCTGCAGGCTGCATCCAAAAAGGGCCATGTCCATGTAGTCCGCCTCTTACTCGGCCGTGGTGCTCAGGTTGGGATCGTGGGTGGCGAATATGGCCACGCTGTTGCCGCCGCTGCCGCTCTAGGCCAGCTGGAAACATTAGAAATCTTGCTTGCAGCTGGCGCAGATGCATCACAAGAGGCTCAGGAGAACTCCAAGAAGGGGATTCAGCCCACCCGGCTCTCTCTTGTATCCGGTCCTTCTGCAGCGCCTCCACTGCATTTCGCCGCAAGTGAAATGCAGGAGGGAACATTGCGAGCGTTGATCGAGGCCAAAGCCGATATTAGGGCGGTCGACAGCAACGGCGACAATGCCTTGCATTTATGTGTTCTAGGCCCATGCCCCACCATGAATGGGAAGGTTTATGGGAAGGGAGGGGGCTCTTTCTGGTTTCTGCCTAATGTCGCAAGGAGAATCCGGCATTCAAGCTGCACAATTGCGAAGCTACTTTTGGTTCTGGCCACGGCGCAGAACAAGGCCGGCAACTCTCCCCTACATTTGCTCTTTCGTGCTAATCAGCATAGCTCCTGGGGCAGGGTGCCCCACCCCTGTGCTGTGCAAATGGCAAAGCTGTTATTCGAGGCTGGCGCTAGCTTTGATCAACTGAACAATGACAACAAAAGCGCAAGGGACGCAGCCATCCAGATGGGTGGACAAACTCTGGAGGACCTGAAACGTGAAATTCCAAGTGCGTGGGAAGGGCATAACCGCTCCGATCTAGACTGTGAGATGCGTGGGCACTTCGAGCCTCGCGAGGATTTGTCACAGTTTCCGTCCCCTGGACTGGGACTGGGGCCTTCGGCATCTCAGAGCCCTGGCAGTCCGTTCGAAATAGAGCCCTCATATGTCGGCCTGGAAGCGGAGCAGTGGCCAACGACTCCCACCGACGATCCATTTATCCTGCCTTCCCTTGTGACCGATTACCAATATGCGCCTGCAGATGGAACATACGGCGCGGCTGACGGGATAAATGCGCCCGGTGTCGACGAAGCAGATCTGTCGAGCAACTGTCTCCACGACCCGGATTCTGAGCTGTTGACGAACCACTGGCAAGACGCCTGAGACGAGCGCTAGAGGAACTAAACTATGGGGGGAAACCGAGATTCATAGAAACACAAGAAGAGGCACGCGAATTATAATATACAACAAAGACGAACAGGAGCACTACCCGCGCAGGCTCCTTGGTTTCGAGGTCACAGAGACTCAATTCCTTGTTCCAAGAGGACAGTAATGGCACTAGCTATATCTATCGCACACGAAATACCAGAGCGTTCAAACCTTCTCATCTCCCACATCTATCAAGTCGACTTGGCCAGCGCCTTGGCCATGCTTCTCGTGACGCGCCTCGCCGGGCCATCCTGGGACTGTGCAGCGCCTTTCCTGACGGGGACCGCTTTCTTCTCGGATGTCTTCTTCTTCTTCTTGGTAACCTTTGCTGCGCTGGCGATGGCGGTCGAGGCGGCGGTAATCTTGGGCTCGGTATTCTTCTTAGTAGCCTTGGTCTTGGCCTTTGGCTTAGCTTTTGTCGTTTTCTTCGGGGCCGCTTCGTCGTTGGGTCCTGGTTGTTGTTGTGCTGCAACAGGAGTAGTAGTGGTGGTTTGGTCGGTATCAGCCTTGTTCTTCAGATCCAGCTTCGGCTTCTCTTGCGTCTCCTGCGTCTCCTCGTCGGGCTTCTTCTTCACCTCCACCTTCCCCTCGACAGTCTTTCCAGGGTCAGCTCCATGGGTGGATGTCGTCCCTTTTGGCTTGTTTGGGACCTTCCTCGGAGGAGGAAGAGGGGCGACCTCGTCCTCAGACCAGTACGGGGAATGCCCCGCAGGCATGACATCGGGAATGATGACAACCGGCGGCGGCAGGGGTTCATTTTCCTTCTCCGGCTTGGTAGGACTCGTCGCCGTCTTCTTCTGCTTCTCCTTCTTGTCCGTCTTCTTTTTCTTTTTTTCCTCCTCCTCGTTCGCCACCACCACCTCCTTCTTCTTCTTCGTCACCTTCGTCGGTTTTCCCAAACTCTTCGCCTTCTTCGAGGTACCGACAGCCTTTGTCTTCTTCGACCCCGAAGCTTTTGCGCCAGGCGCTGGAGTCGGACTCACGTACGCCGGGCCCAGCGCGTCCTTGATGGCCTGCTTGAGCGCGCGCTTCGTCTTGTACTTTGGCGACACGATGGGTGGAGCGCCGCCCGCGGCGAATTCGTCTGCCGTGGCGGCGGCGGCGACCTGGGCCCGACTCCTCGTCCTTCTAGAGGTCACTATCGGGTCCGAGCCCGGAGTGCTCAACCGTCGCGCCCTGGATGGTTGTGCGTGCGACGACGGCGGCGGCGGTGGCGCTGCACTGGCTGGGATGGGACCTTTGGACTTGGCCTTGCCGGTCTTGGACACTCCGGCTGCCTCGCTGGCTTTGCCTCGGGGGCTAGGAGGGGGAGATTTCTGCAGGGACCCCTTGAGTCAGCGGCCAAATCGACAGTGGTATGCCAACATCCCTCCAGAAGACAGAGGGAAGGGGAGGGTGGAGGGAGGGATTATCCATTCCGAGGCCAGCGAGCCTTCGCTATTCGACTTACGTTCGATGTCATCTTTCTGCAATTCTATTGTTCTCTTGCGCTGGAATCTTCTCTGTCTGTCAGGCAACTCAACCAAGCTGTATATCTCCCGCGGTGCGAGGGAAAAATGGGAAACGAGATAGGAAAATCCAGACACAGAGGACGAGGAAGGGAAGCCCATGACCCGAACTTTGAACGGAAAAAGGGCATGCATGCATGATTGCTCGCCTGCTCTCTTGTTCGTGGCAGTTCTTTCTTTCTCTCTTTCTTTCTTGGTCGCATTTGGGTGCCTCATGGACAACAAAGGGAAAATGACCAGCTGGAAAACCAGAGAGAGCACGCCAGTCAAGTCTTGTCAAGTCCGCGCGCGCGAATGCATCCGGCGCAGAAAATAAGAGACCAAGAAACAAAGCCATCGACTTCGCTGAAAACGGCCCTGGCCGCTGGCTTTGTCTTTGATGAGAGCGCATGCAGTGCAGCTGAGATCGCGAGTCAGTGCCAGCCAGGTAAGTAGAGAGAATGAGGGATCACAAAAAGAAAAGGATGTGTGTGCACAGGTATCGAGGAAAAGTTGAGTTCGGGGCAATGGACAGGTTCTGAGGAATGTGGAATGAAACGTGGGGAATTCCTCTGGATTCCTCGACAGCAGTCCCTTTATATCCAGGGCAGATAAGCAGTAACACCATCGCTGGCTAGCCCCTGGATCGCATCGCGTTGTCCAAATCCATCATCTTTCCAAGATTTGGCGGGTAGATCAATCCACTATAGTGACAATCGTGTAATTATGTATCTTTTTGTTTCTTTCGTCAGATTGCGTTCAGGTCGTCAAATGCCGTCGTGTGAATCCCGTACGAAGGACGGCGCTAACATTTTTTGGAAATATTCGCTCGAAAATGTCCCTTGGGATTACCTGGGAGGTGCAAAAGTTGTTGTCATGTGTACATCGTGGTCATATTCAACCGCCTAGCCCAGCACCGTCAACGTTTCTCAGCTTCGCAGCCAATGTGGTGTCGTAGAAGTTGTAGTATGGGTCGGGGATACAAAAGGTAGAATGTCGAAGCAGGGTGTCGGCTGTCGGTCGATCGGTCGGGTTGCTGTTTATCCATTAGTACACGATAAATCCATGGCCCGCGGTCAAGACTTACACTTGGAAGCAGTCATACATGAAGTTCAGCCCGTCAACCGAAGCTGTCGACTGTACGTCTTCAGGAATAGGCGGTGCTTGGCTGAGACTTCCCAGCTTGAAGATGGCGCCGATGGCTTCTTCTCGGCTCCATGGTCGCTTTCCTGCAAACATTTCCAAAACCACACAACCAAGCGACCAGATATCGACTTTGGCACTATAACCCTGACCGTGGGATCGGATCACTTCAGGGGCCATCCAGAACACCGAGCCTTGCATACTGTTGGTAACGTCGTTGCCGTAGATGTTGTCTGACTTTTTAGAGATGCCAAAATCCGAGATCTTGCATGTGCCATCAAGGTCGAGGAGGATGTTGTCAGCTTTCAAATCACGGTGCAGAATGCCTTCTTGGTGGAGGTATGCCAGTCCTTCCAGGGTTTGTCGCGTAAGTGATCGCACCACAGACTCCTCAAACTTTCCATGCTTGCGCAGACAGCTGCCGATGGAGCCACCAGGGATGTACTCGAGATAGATACTGATAGAGAACTGACTCCGTTCGCAAGCAAGGTATTGCACAATGTTAGGATGCTCAAGATGCTGCATAGTGTCGATCTCTTGGTCCAGAGCGGCAACCATTTCTTTGATGCGATCTTTGTCTTGACCCGCAGCTTTCTGATTGACCTCGACCTGTTTGACGGCCAGGAACTCACCGGTTGTCGCATTCATGCCGAGGTACACACGTCCATAGGTGCCCTTGCCGATAAGTTGACCGCGAATGATTTTGAAGGTTGCCTGCCGCTTGGGCGTCTCGTCCGTGGGAACTTCTTCTTGGGGAATAGGATCAAGCGTGGACAATCGACTGCCTGGTTTTGGTCTGATCTGCACGATATGCGCACCAAACATCTTCGTAGACTTCCGACGAACAATGCTGCTTGCATTATTCTGTTCCACGCGAGCGGCAACCGAAGGGCCTCGCTTGATGTCGTTGCGCTTCTGAGCAACCTCACGAATAGACTTCATCCTAGAAATGCCTCCTGTCGCTTTGCCAACTTGCCTCTGTGCAACACTCGCCACCCTATCACGATCCTTTGCCTTGAGAGTGGACTCGTCAGACCCCAGAGTATCCGATTCGCTCTTACGGCTGAACTCAAGATCCAGTCCAGCGGTGCCAAAGGTCACACTGGTGGAAGGTCCCTGGAGGGCGTCAAGAGGATCCTGATCCGTCGTCCTCATGGGTGAGTTGTTGTCGCCTTTCTCTTCTAGGTACGGCTTATCGAGATCGACGCCTGGGAAGAATTCGTCGAGATGATGAACGACATTTTCCACCGCCGGTCGATTCGCCCAGATGTCACTGATGAAGGAATCTCTCCTATTCATTCGGTCATCTGGTGACTGGGCAGATCCGCTGAAACTGCCGTCGGAGAGACTGCGGTCGTAGCCCTCACCACTGGCCGTGGCGCTATCGTCGCCAGTGTTTTGCATGCCACTGGATGAGCTTGGCGACTTGAACCGTACGTTCTTGCTGATATTTTGGTCCGTATCCACCGTCAATGTAGGTCTCTGATCTTTACTGCGCAACGGCATATCGTCCTTAGACAAGGACTTATTCGTCAAGGGGATTGCGAACAGTCCATCATCCGAGTCATCGTCCGAATCATCCTTGAGCGGATGGGGCGAAGGAGCAAAGGAAACGTTGGTCTCCTTGAATTCAAGATCGGGTCCGTACGACTTTCGGGTTTGCAGGAACGGCCGTGGTGCCGCCTCAGTTGAGGGACTGACCGCCGGTGAAGGACCAAAGCGCCGAGCACTCTCCAAAGCAGCATTCCGTGCCCGGCTCTCTTGGTTGGTATCGGCGAAACCTTCTTCATAGTTAGGAACTTTGAACAGCATATCACCTTTGCCCCGTGTAAAGTCGGGACGAAAGGACCCACCTGAATTACTGCGACTGAATTCAACACCCCTTCTATCCTGTGGCGGCCCTTGGCTGCCCAAAGTGGCTGGAGCGCCAGCCATCTTGCCAACATTGGCCAACGCGGCACCAATGCCACCAGAAGGAAGGGCCGCGAAAGCGGCTTTCTTCTTTGCACGCTCTGCGTCTTCTTCAGCAATGGGATCAGAGATTCGCTTCAAGGCATCGAGGGACGATCGATTGCCAGATCCTTTGGCCCGAAGAGAATTGACCTTGGTCAGCGTGGTGGATTCCGCAGGTGCTGTGGGTGGCCGTCGGACTGGCACAAGATTTTCGACCTTCTTCTCTTCGAACGGTGAGAGGCGGGGACTGTCAAAGTCTATGACCGTGCTTCCTCGAATTCCGCCACCACTGTATGTGGAAGTCGACTCCTTTTGAGCTCGACGAGATTCCAGGTAAGCCCTTTGTTTAGCCTCCGTCTGTCGTCGATATTCTTCAGCCTGCTTTTGCATGAGAGCAGGATCAGTGACCAGCGATTCGGCTACTGGAGATGTATACCCATTGCGACTGATGCCACCAGACGAGTTTGATTTGACCATGGGTGGAGCTCTTTCGACCTGGCCCTTTTGGCCAAAAGAAACCCCGAGACCAGCTGACTGAGTCGCCGAGCCAGGAACTGCGGAAAGTGTAGGACTCTGGACGTACAGCTTGAAGCTGCCTAGGTTATCTGTCCGGTTCCGTATGGCGACAAGCATACCGTCCGAGAGTGCCGTTTCGTGCTCTGTTTGACCGGGCTCGGTGATAAAAATCTGTGCATATTCGGCGTCTGGTATCCCAAGCTCGATACAGATGAGACTGCGAAGGGCGATGGCCGTCTCCACTTCCGTAACGTCCACAAGCCGGTAGTTCCAACCGTCTGGCGTCACAAAAATGTATCTTCTTGATACATTGGGTCCTCGACGACCGGCTATCAGTGCCTTCTCATCTTCACTCGTGACAGAAGCGGGGCGTTGGAATAGTGCCGAGTCGCTACCATTCGCGCTTGGTCTTGCAAATAGCTTCAATGGACCAGGGCTTGTCGGTGACTCCAAAGGATGTTCATCTGACTGGGGCTGATTGTGCTCATGCCTCTTCCTCATAAACTTACTGAGAAAGCCTTTGCTGTGATCTTTGCCTCCCGGACCCGGGGCATAGTCATTGCTCCAAGTCCTGTGAGATTCTAGGGGCGAAGGTCTGGTCATCTCTTGTGCGTCACGCCTATCTGCATAAAAGCGTTCTGAGCCTCCAGACGACGTGTTGCTCCTCTCATAGGGACCTTGCATGTTGACATTCGAGCGAGAGTGGCTTGACGCTTTGAGCATAGAATCGGTGCTGTTGCTCTTGCTATGATCTGGTCGCTGTGTCTGGGAAGAGGTACTTGTAGCCGAAACAGGGATTGCACTTCCAAGACCCGGGCTGGCACTGGGAGAGGCATCAAACGTCTTGGGCAACAGACCCGTGGAAGTATCGCCCGAAAGATTGGGGCTATGTCGTCCTCGATTGTTCATGCTGGTCAGAACGCCCCTTGTGTAATCTGTGCGCCCTGCGCCTGGAAAATTGTCTGCTGGCCGTGGGTCGCTTGGGGTGGAGGAAGCGCTACTATATTTGCTGAGAACAGGCATGGTACTACTTCGACCCTGTGAATTTCGAGGCCCTAATCCTGTCGGGAATTGCGGAGGCATCTGCTTGCCAGGGCTTCCTTCTGGACCAGCCGTTCCAGGCGCGCTACCAAATTCAGATCGGGGAAGATTAGGCGAAGTTTCCAGATTTCCCTCCGTTGACGCACTCGGAATCATACCAGACTCTCGCCTCCGATGACCCGTGCCTGCGCTGGCTGGACCCTCACCTCCCTGTTCGACGAGGCGAGAGATTAGCTTCCGTAATCTCTTGCCCTCTTCCCGCTCGCGAGCCTGGTCCCAACCAGTATTGCCGCTCGAACAGACCTTTGCGAGCTGTGGGTAAATGGTCTGATGCATCATGCCCAAGTTCCCACGGCCATTCGGTCCCCGGCCAAGGTCGAGAAAGTCGGAGCCTTGCAACTTCAACAACCTAAAGGTCTCCTGCCAATCGTTTGAGAATCCATTCGCAGCCAGCCAAGCAAGGACGCGATCCAAGGGCCACTGCGAAGACAACTCGGCCGAGTTGCTTCCCGTGACGGCAGCACTGTGCGCTCGCTGTCGACCCTGGTCAGTGCTTGATTGCTGATTGACCAAGGTTGCGGTTGGGGGTCCTGGAGAGATGGGTTCGTTGATCTCGCGAAGGGGTAAAGTGAAGGCGGCCCTATTTGAAGAAGCGGAGGCTGCCCGATTTTCTCTATTGGCAATATCCGGATTCGGATGTATCGGATTGGGATATGAGTAGCTATGTGAATTAGTGGAAGTGTCAGAATATTTCTGATCTGAGTGAGACAATGAAGGCTCGGAAGTGAATTGGGCATCGTATCGCGAGTATGAGGAGTAATCGTCGAGGGGTGGAATGCCGACGCCGGGCCCAAACGAATCCCCAGTGGGAATAAATGTGGCGGACAGGATGGGCTTGTCATTCTGCGGAGGCGGCGGCGGAATATTCAGCTGTCGCATACCGTAGGATAGGTGTTGTCCCTGTCCCTGGGTATGATTTGTTGGCGGAGGAGGTGGTATATTCTGGCCCAAGCCTGATCTTCCCCATGGCTGCTGCCATCCTGCGCCTGGCAGCCCGAAAACTGTCCCAAGGGGTAGGGCGGAGGGATGTGGTCCCGGTGGAGGGGGAGGAAGATTTGATTGAAGATACGGTCGCGGAGGAGGCGGTGGAAGATGGCCTAGAGTGCCTTGTCCCGGGGGAGGGGGAGGCCCAGGAATATATTGTTGTTGTCTCTGGTTATCCATTATCTGGCCGTTGGAGACCATCCTTCAAAGGTCGGTCGATTGCTTAGAGGTGAAGCAAGCACCAAGTATGACTCGACCCCAACAAAGCCAGGTGGCTATGTTTGCAGTCGGACAGACGAGAGTTTTGTTGCCTGCAATTCCAGTTTTCCTAGCTTTTTTCGGGACCTTGACTCTCACGGTCACAAGTCTGACACAGCTCTCAATGGACTCTATCCACGGCACTTTTCGGCTTCGAGTCGAGCAGAGCGACGAGGCGCACGCCTGGACAAAGCGCAATGTCACAGACACATGATAGACGGAGTGAGCTCGCTAGTAGATGGACTAGTGAACAGATAAAAAGGCGAGGGAGCGGCGTCGACGACTGATACAAAGTAAAGCAGATGGTTGGTGTTTGTAGAACTGAGGGAAGGGCGGAGACTCCCACGTGCAGTTGGTGACAGCGACGGGCGACGTGCGCTGATATATCCGCAAAAGATGCCGTCGGCGTCTCAACTGTGAGTGAGAGGGGTGTAAGCGGAACAGGATGTCGACGACAGTGAGAATTGAGAAAGTCGCAGTCCGAGCGCAGTTGAACTGGGGTATGGGATGAGTGGCTGATGAGCGGCAACCTGTGATTTGGGGCCGAAGGAACAGAGAAGGCTGACCTGGGCAAGCCTACAAAGCCGGAAGAGGCTAGATTGGGGCTAATGAGGCTGTCGGCTGGTATGCCCAATGGAGGTGGCGGAATAAGCGCGTACCTGGAGGGAAAAGGCCTCGAGGGCATCGGAGCCCAACTACTGGCTCCCGCCCCAACGCGATGAACAAATACCTGTACACTGGGCGCTGGCTAGTGGGGGGTAGCTTGATAGGGACCTCTTTACCTAGAGTTACCCACCTTGGCATGGTTGGCGTGCCCCAGGGCCTCGGCGTGCTAGGAAGGCACTGTACTTGTTTGGTTTGAAGGTACGAGTAAGCTTTGCTCCCAGATAATCCAGCTGCCAGCAATTTTTATACGCGGTGCCACGTTTCTCCCCAGCAGGTTGCACAACAGCCCTGGCGGCCGTGGCAGCTTAGAATGCCTCACATAAGGATGCACCAAATGCTTTGTTCGAATTATCACAAGCTTTTGCTCTGGCGTGGTGGGCTGATGTTGCGCGTCACATCATACCACTCTTGCATCACAAAGCATCATGATCCCAGCTTTTTCCCTGTTACATCTGCTTGTCGTTGACCGTAAAGTTCATCTCAACATTCTTGCCGGCCTTCCGCTGCAGACCTCAATGCTTATCATGCCCGATGCGATCGGAGCATCTCGTGAATTTCTTATAAAATCTACCTCATCCCTAGTTCTCTGGATGTAGTTTCCTGTCCACCGTCTCTCAATTGATTTTTCTTCTTCTTCTTCTTCTTCTTCTCCGTGTCCCTCCTCTTGTAGTGTGCTCGTCCTCAATCATGGCCGATCTGACCGAAATGCTGAGAGAGCCCGTGGATGTCGCTACTTATCTCTTCACTAGGCTGAAGCAGATGGGCATCGACTCTGTCCATGGACTTCCGGGTGATTTTAATCTGGTGGCTCTGGATTATCTCGAGGGCTGCGGTCTTCAATGGGTGGGAAACTGCAATGAGCTCAACGCAGGCTACGCCGCCGATGGCTATGCTCGAGTGAAAGGGATATCAGCTATTATCACCACCTTTGGAGTGGGGGAGCTGTCTCTGCTCAATGCAACCGCAGGAAGGCGAGTCACGTAGTCTCGGAATAGCTGTCTGATACAACTCACTAACTTGTTCATTCCAGCTTTGCCGAGTTTGTGCCAGTGGTGCATATCGTCGGGACACCTAGTACCATATCTCAGAAAAATGGCATGCTTCTGCATCATACCCTGGGCAATGGTAACTTCAATGTTTTCGCCGAGATGGCCGCCCATGTGGCAGTCAACGTCGCCAAATTGAAGGACCCTCGCGATATTGCCTCACAAATCGACAATGCGTTGCGCGAGTGCTACCTTCTCAGTCGGCCCGTTTACCTGACGCTCCCGACAGACATGGTCAAACGGAAGGTTGAGGGCCAACGACTCAAGACCCAACTGGACCTGAGCCCGCACAAGAATGACCCCGAAAAGGAAGAGTACGTGGTCGATGTGATTCTGAAGTATCTCACCGCGGCCAAGAACCCCGTCATTCTGGTCGACAGCTGCGCCATTCGTCACCGTGTGCTGCCCGAGACCCACGAGCTGGTCGAGAAATCGGGTCTGCCGGTGTTCGTGGCGCCCATGGGCAAAGGCGCCGTCGATGAAACCTTGCCTAACTTCGGCGGTATTTATGCAGGAGCTGCGTCCAACCCTGGAGTCCAGGAGCGTGTTGAAGGGGCAGACTTGCTCCTGTCCATCGGCAGCGTCAAGTCCGACTTCAACACGGCCGGATTCTCCTACCGAACCTCGCAACTGAAAACCATCGACTTTCACAGTACGTACATGCGAGTGCGGTGGTCAGAGTACCCCGGGGTTGGCATGAAAGGCGTCCTCCGCAGACTCATCGACCGACTACCCAAGCTCGATGTTCAGCCTGGACCTACATTACAACAGAAACAGATCCCCGAAGATGAAAATCCCAACGACACTGCCATCACGCACCGTTGGTTCTGGCCGCGGCTGGGACAGTGGCTGCGCGACGGTGACATTGTGCTCACCGAGACTGGAACGTCCAACTATGGCATATTTGATACTCGATTCCCTCCAAATGTGACGAACATCAGCCAGATTCTATGGGGAAGTATTGGTTATGCGACCGGCGCATGTCAGGGTGTAGCATTGGCCGCCAAAGAGCTCGGTGGTAACCGTCGGACAATTCTCTTCACTGGCGACGGTAGTTTCCAGCTTACATGCCAGGAAGTGAGCACGATGATCCGGCATAATCTCAACCCAATCATCTTCATTGTCTGCAACAACGGCTACACCATTGAACGCTTCATCCACGGTATGGAAGCCGGCTACAACGACATCCAGAATTGGAAATACAAGGATCTGGTCCCAGCCTTTGGAGCAACAGAAGGCAGCTACAAAACATACCAAGTCAGGACCAAGGACGACATCCATGCCTTGTTTCAAGACGAAACTTTTTCAAAAGCTCCCTGTCTGCAGTTGGTCGAAATGTACATGCCGTGGGATGATTCGCCTGCAGGATGTAAGTCCTCTCTAACCATTCGACCCCTTTCTCGCTTGGGACAGAAGATGCTAACGAATATACCAGTGTCTGTGACGGCAGCTGCCAGTGCTCGGAATAATGCTAAAATGCTCGAGACTTCTTAGACGTTCAAAATAGACACGGTGGAAACGGACACGCAGAACAGGCTCGCGTAGGCTGGAATGGACGGTATATAGACAAGGCTGGTAATATCTATTATCGCTCTTCTGCTCTTCTGCACTTCTGCACTTCTGCTCTTCTGCTCTTCTGAGCCTATCGCGGCAGGCTGCAGCGATTATGAGGCAACATGACTGTTGCTTCTCTGCGTTTGTGGTGCCTGGAATGTTGAGCCCGAAGCTCGCCTAATGCTACCTGCGGGCTTTGTTGTAACTTTGTTGTAATCAAGCAGCCCCAGGCCTTGTGATTGGGTCGATAATTCAGACCCTGGCCAACTAGCGGATACACGGTCTCGAGGCTCAGTCACACACACCCCCATGCAACACAGAACCGAGAAAGACGCAGAGAGACAGAGAGAGCGAGCGAGAGAGAGAAAGATACCTGAATCATTTCATCCTCTCCTACTGTTGACTGGCACGAGAAGCTCGTCGGCGGTATCATATCCCGACCGTTTTGTTCTGCATCGGCATCTATGTGCTGTAGAGATGCTTCCATAATGTCCCCGACGCATAGCGGATGTCCTGGCTATCGGGCTACCTCCCATCAACAAACCCATCACGCTGTCAGGTGAGAGACTGTGTGTATGTGTGCACAGTGAACTTGTGACCCTCAGCGACTCGTTGCTCTCTCACTGGGGACGCTGACAGTGTGCACTTGGCCCAAATGCCTCACGCGTTGCCGACACTTTGAGAAGGGCATTTCTGCCATACACTGAGGGATCCAAAGCCCTTTGTCAACTTGACCCGCGCACCCCAGATCTCAACGAGCGAACAAGATGTCGAACCTCGAATCTCCTCCGCCCAAGAAGAGCGGCCTCCGCAAACTTCAGACGCGACACACAAACCTTCATCGCCTCCCTTCATCACACATCCCGTCTCGCCTGCGCCTGGGAGACGATGCCCAAGAAGACGTGACGGCCCCCAATCGAGGCTCAAATATGCCTGCCCAATACATGAATCAATCCATTTTTTCCATGATCGCGGCCGCCGGGTCGCGAACCGACTTCAACACGAGATTTGACGAGTCTAGCGATAGTGAAGATGAGATCCCGGAGGAACAAGCACAGACAGCCACCGATGATGCATCCCTCCCGGTTACTTCAGAGACAGGGTCAAAAGAGACACAATCTGTGGCAACAAAGGACGATAAAAGTAGCGGTGACAAGAAGAGCAAGCGTCTTTCAAGTCAGCGATTAGTCCAGTCGTTGCCACGTCTCACAGGACGATCGATCCGCAGGAAAGAGGGCACGCCCCAACAAGATCCAAGTCCTGGAAGTGATGTGACCTCGGAGTCTTCGAGGAGCAATCCGCGAGATGCACCTGTTCTCAGTCGCTTGATAACTGCAGAGGCCCAGTTTCAAGAGAGTGCGGAAGGTCAAGATCCTATGCAACCATCTCCTACAGCCCTGAGGTCTAGAAGCAGAGGCGAATCGACGCCGCAGACGCTTCTTGCGACACGGCTGATGGAAATCTTCGGGTTTGAAGAGCCCGAGTCCGTGGTGGCAGAATATCCGTGTTGGCTGTTGCAGAGCGTGCTCCTACAGGGCTATCTTTACATCACAAAGCAACACATCTGCTTCTATGCCTATCTGCCCAAGAAGTCGCACACCGTTGTCAAAACTGGATATCTCTCAAAGAAGGGCAGGACGACTTCCAAATACAAAAGATACTGGTTTTCCCTCAAAG